ATATATATATATAAAAGCCAAGCGACTGGACCGCTGGAATGACCGGAACGACCAGTTGCTTTGATGCACTGTGGCCCTGATCAGCCCCCCCCACCCAGATTGGGAGGCGGGGCTGGCCAGCCAACCGCCTGCGGCCCCTTCCCCAGCCATTCCTGCCCCAATCGGCCCCAATCAGGGTGGGCTGGCTGGATCCCACCCGTGCACGAATTCATGCACCTGGCCTCTAGCATAGCCATAAAAGAAACAAGGCAAGGTAGTGGGATGAGTGAAAGAGTACAATGCAGAACATGTGTTTAATACGTTCCTACTTGCATCAAGTTAAATACAAGAATACAGAAGTCAGAAGTAAAGTATTTATTTTTTTTCCCCCGCCCTTGATTACAAAGGGTATTACATATGTGTCCTTTTTTTTTTCCAGAAGTAAAGTATTTAATGCCATTGCCTTCTTTCTCATTTGGTATCCCAAGTTAGCAAAAAATAATATAAACATAGATTCTCATTCCCTTTGTTCTAAAGTTCAACTTAATTCATATTTGGAGCAAAACATCCAGCCCAGAGCAGAAAAATGCAGAGTAAATTCACACTCATTTTTTTATAAACTGCTGCAGGAACAACATCCAACCAATTTATTATTAGTTCACTTAATTCAGGATAATTCTTATATATCAGGAGACATTCAATATCAGTTGAGTACTATTATGGATTTACATTTATAAAATAAAATATTTTAGAGAGATATTAATTTTGTGACATAGGTATAGTAGAAAAGCACATCTACTATGTAAATCTTAAGAAGTTGATTGAATTAATACATATAAAAAGTGAATAATATTATTTCTTCCTTGTTAAGTTGAAATTGTAATCAAATTAGCCCTGACCGGTTTGGCTCAGTGGATAGAGCGTCGGCCTGCGGACTGAAGGGTCCCAGGGTCAATTCCGATCAGGGGCATGTACCTTGGTTGCAGGCATATCCCCAGTGGGGGTTGTGCAGGAGGCAGCTGATCGATGTTTCTCTCTCATCGATGTTTCTAGCTCTTTGTCCCGCTCCCTTCCTCTCTGTAAAAAAATCAATAAAATATATTTAAAAAAGAAATTTTAATCAGTTTATTTTTAAATTTTTATTTATTGATTTTAGAGAGAAAGTGAGTAGGGTGGGAGAGAGGGAGGGAAGGAAACAGAGAGAGAAAGGGATGGGGGAGGGAGAAAGAGAGAGAAAGAGAGGGTCGAGGGAGGGAGAGAGATGCAGAAACAGGGAGAGAAAGAAATATTGATTTGTTGTTCCACTTATTTATGCATTTGTTGGTTGATTCTTGTATGTGCCCTGTCTGGAGATCTAAACAGCAACCTTGGTGTATTGGGATGATGCTCTAACCAACTGAACTACCCAGCCAGGGCTATAATTATCTTATATGTTAGAGGAAAAGGACTCTTTAGGCACTGTAATGAAGGAATGAATTTATACCCCCATAATGCTACTATATTCAAATATCAGCATAGGTGCTTGAACATTTCTAATTTAAGTTTAAAAGATAATTCATCTCACATATACCATTACTAATTTTTTTAAGAGTCTGAAATTTCAGGGACAAATCTAACAAAAACCTCATTCATAAAAATTTATATATATTCATTGATTACTAGCAGAAGCTTCATCACTTGATAATAAAACTCTTCAAAGCATTTTTAAAAAAATTATTGAATTTATTGGTGTGACTTTGGTTAATAAGTTTATAGAGGTTTCAGGTATACAATTCTCCAGTACATCATCTGTATATTGCATTGTGTTTCACCGCCACAAGTCAGATCTGCAATCCAAGTCAAGTCTCCTTTCATCATGATTTATCCCCCTTTATCCTTTTGTACCTCACCTCACCCCTTTCCCTCTGGTAATTATCATACTGTTGTCTGAAACTATGAGTTTTTCTTTTCTGCTTAACACCTTCAACATTTTAACCCAGCCTCCCAACCACCCTCCCCTCTGACAGCTATCAATGTGTTCTTGGTATTAATGAGTCTGGTTTTTTTTTAATTTATTTTGTTCAATAGATTCCACATGTGAGTGAAATAATATGGTACTTGTCTTGCTCTGACTGGCTTATTTCACTTAGCATAATACTCTCCAGGTCTATCCATGCTGTCTCAAAGGATAAGATTTTTTGTTTTGTTTTTTTATGAGGAGTAGTATTATATTGTGTCAATGTACCATAGCTGTTTTATCCATTCATCTACTGATGAACACTTACTTGGGCTGCTTTCAAATCTTAGCTATTGTTAATGATGCTGCAATGAACATAGGAATGCATATATTCCTTCAAATTTGTGTTTTGGGTTTCTTCAGATAAATTCCCAAAAGTGGAATCAATGGGTCATAAAACGGTTACATTTTTAATTTTTTGAGTTAATTCCATACGGCTTTACACAGAGGCTTTATCAATCTGCATTCACACCAACAATCCGTGAGTGTTCCCTTTTCTCCATGTCCTCACCAGAACTTGTTTTTTGATTTATTGATGATAGCCATTCTAACAAGTGTGAGCTGATATCTCATTATGGTTTTAGTTTGCATTTCTCTGGTGATTAGTGACATTGAGCATCTTTTCATGTCTATTGGCCATCTGTATGTCCTCTTTGGAGAAGTGACTATTCATATCCTTTGCCCAATTTTTAATTAGATTCTTTGATTTTTTCTGGTGTTGAGTTTTATAAGTTATTTATAAATTTTAGATATTAATCCCTTATCAGTGTCAAATATGTTCTCCCATTGAGTGACTTGTGTTTTAATTTTGTTGATGGTTTCTTTTGCTGTGCAAAAATGTTTTAGTTTGATTTGGTCCCATCTCCTAATTTTTTCTTTTGTTTTCCATACCCAAGTAAAAGAGAGAAAGAGAGAGAAAGTGAGTGGGGTGGGAGAGAGAGAGAGAGAAAGAGAGATAGGGGAGGGAGAGATTGGAAGTTATTAACAAAACTGGTGGTTTGAATAGAAAGCAGAGCATCCGAGGGGAAATATCAGAAAAAAAAATTGCTACAGGAAATGTCTGAGATTTTACTACTTATATTTTCTTCTAGAATTTTTATGGTTTCTTGACTTGTATTTAAGTGTTTGAGTTCATTCTTGAGTATGGTGTAAGAAGGTGGTCTAGTTTCATTTTTTTACACATATCTGTCCAATTTTTCCAACACTATTGAATAGATTATCTTAACCCCATTTATGTTTTTGCCTCCTTTGTCAGAACCACTGAAGCCTCACCTTTCCTGGCTCTTCCCTCCAAGATCTATGTATGAATGATATTTGCCAAGAAAAACTTGACTGCTTATAAAACCCATGTGAAGCTATTTTCTCCAAGAATTTGAAGATCTTAAAAAGAATCAGGGATAGCACTGCCTTTATATGTTATGTGTAATACTAAATAGTATAAATTACTTCATGTTCAACACAACCTAAAATATGTGAAAACCTATCTTGACTTTGTTACTAAGTGAATGCTGGGTCTTGAAAATGTTATTTAGGTACTTTAAGCCTCAGTTTCCTCATTTTTAATATTTAATATATTGAAGGTAGAGTTATCTCTACTTTCCCTTCCAGCTCTAAAAGGGTAAATTCTTAAACTAGTACATCACCCAGGAAAATAAAATAGTCTAATTATTACATTCAAGTTCGTTTCAGATGCTAACTTCTAGTCTGAATATTTATACTAAGGGGCTATCAGAATTCACTGATTTAAATAGCTTTATTGTTGAGAATGGATAAGGTAACTCAGATTTTACTTAACAACCATAACATATACATGTCATTATATACATTCAACTAAAGGAAAGAGTGTAAAACAAAAACTGAAGTTTTAAAGAATACCTCAGGTGCTACAAAATTTGCAGTGTAGCATGGAGTTAAGAGAAGCCCATTTTCTCCTCGAAGTTGCTTTGCAAACCCAAAATCACAGATCCGAATGGAGTCTGCATTGGCTGATTCATCCATGTATAAAATATTACTAGGTTTAAGATCACGATGAACAACCTTGAACACAAAAGAAAAAAATATTATATTTCTATAGCTAAATAAATATCTGTGAAATAAAACATTTTATGTTAATATATTTCTATGAAAATTACTTTTTTAAATATATTTTATTAATTTTTTACAGAGAGGAAGGGAGAGGGATAGAGAGTTAGAAACATCGATGAGAGAGAAACATCGATCAGCTGCCTCCTGCACACCTCCTCCTGGGGATGTGCTCGCAACCAAGGTACATGCCCTTGACCAGAATAGAACCTGGGACCCTTCAGTCTGCAAGCCGATGCTCTATCCACTGAGTCAAACTGGTTAGGGCAAGGAAAATAACTTTTTAATCATAAAATATTGAAATGATACTTTGTCCTACCTTTATAATCTTGAAAGTAATATCTATCAGATAGATGTTCTGCTTTCTATTCAAACCACCAGTTTTGTTAATAACTTCCAATCTCAAAGTATCAAAACTCAATTCTCAGTTCCACTTCTGTTTATAATGAACTAAGACCCTACCTAATATGCCCCTCCCCACAGTAAACAAGTATAAAACCTGAACATAATAGAAAAATGAACTACCCGAAGGTACTGGGGAGTGAAGAGAAACAGACAGGCTCGGGTGGGGAATACACATTTGGCTGAAGGAAGGAATACAGGGAACTATATGAACGGCTTTTAGGCAAGGGCAAAGTACAGTCCCTGTGTCACACAGTGGTGGTGAAGATACATGTGGAAAAGCCCACAGTCTTTCTGGCCTGGAAGACCAGAAAAGAGATGCTGGGAAAACTTTAATGCTGAGTGGAGAGATACTGTAAATTAAAAAGTCAAAACTACCCCTGAGATCTGGCCACATAACTCAGTTGGTTAGAGTGTCATATTGATACACTAAGGTTGTGGGTTCAATCCTCAGTCAGGGCACATATAATAATTGATCTCTCTCTCTCTCTCTCTCTCTCTCAACAAATAAAAAATTGCTCCTGAATCAACAATGTGTAGAAGAGGGGTGAGGGAAGGTAGAAAAGGGTAAAGGGGGGATAAATGGTGATGGAAAAAGACTTGATTTTGGGGGGTCAACACACAATGCAATATACAGATGATGTATTATAGAGTTGTGCACCTGAAACCTGCATAATTTTATTAACCAATGTCACCCCAATAAATTCAATAAAAAATTTCAAATGTGTAGAAGATGCTCAAAGTACTTTGTATAAATATGAAAGATAGAGACCAAAGTTGCTACCCAAAAAGCAGAATTTTCTGTGCAAACAATGCCAAGAAAATTATCCACTAAAACAAAACAATAATGAAAATCAGTAAAAATCATTGGAGAAAAATAACAGAATAAAAAATCTCCAAAAGTTAATATTCAAATGTGCAGTATACAATCCAAAATTATGTGACATACAAAAAAAAAATACAGAAAAAAACCCGACAAGAAAATAGAACACAGTTTCAAGAAAAAAAGAAAATCAATCAATTCTAAATTCAAGATGAACCACATTGGAACTAAAAGACAAGAATTTAACTTATTTTTTTAAATTTATCTTTATTATTGAAATTATTACAGATATCCTCTCTTTACCCCAATGACCCCCTACTCTCCACTTCCACCCTCCCCCAGACCTTCACCACACTATTGTCTGTGTCCATGGGTTATGCATATATGCATATTTGTTCTTTGGTTAATCTCTTTCTGCCACCATCCTTCCCTCAGAGATTCATCAGTCTGTTGCATTACGGTGACATTGCATAATAAAATTATAGAGGTTTTAGGTATCTACTTATAAAAAACCCTGGGTGGTGTAACATCACGCCCGTCTGGCGACCAAGTGGAAGGAAGTCAGTCCTGCAGGGGTAGTCTTTGAAACAACTGCACCCTCTTCTGAGCTATTTCCTGGAGCTGTTTCCAGTGAGGGAGGGGTTTGAGGCAGGAACCCGCCCTCAGAGCATGGAGGCATATCTTTATAAAGTGTGCTGCGCCAGCACGGCCAAGGGTGAACCTGAGTGGGGGCGGCTGAAAGGCTTAGAAAAGACAGACAAGAGAATTAAAGCAGGGTCTCGGTGGGACGCTGCTTCTCTGAGACAGCAACCATGCCCACAGTCATGTCTTTATTTTATAGCAGATGCCACGAGGCAAAGTAAGGGCGTGACCAAGTTGTTTACAACATTCTCCTGGGTTTCAATCCTACTCAACTACATGCACCTGAACTCTATCAAGCCTACATCACTCAGGCATGTGGGGCCACGTGTTCGGACCATAGGTTCAAGCTTACAACTATAGCTGTTGGCGATAATTGTGTTGGGAGGGCCCTGCCCTCCAAGCTGGGACTTGCACGTGGCAATGAGAGGACTGTGCCCTCTCATCAGTCCAAAGCTTGAACCTGTCCAAAACACTGTAGCAGCTACCCACAATAAAGTTTTAATCTACTTATATAAAAACCCTGGGTGTAACATCACGGCCAGAAGTGTGTCCAACCAGAAGGAAGTCAGTCCTGCAGTGGTCGCTTTGGAAACAGCTGCGCCCTCCCCCAGCTGTTTTCGGGAGGACGAGGTTCAGGCAGGAACCTGCCGTCAGGGTGAGGTTTCAGGGAGGAACCCACCCTCAGAGCAAAGCATGGAAGTGAAATGATTTGTAATGGATCTATTATTGAAGCTTTTGGAAATAC